CATAATCTATTATTCGCGTGGTAGCAGTTTATAGAGCAGCTTTTTGATGCGCAGGAAATCACAGTAAACGAAAGCACCGCCAAACCACAATTTTAAATTAAATTTTATCTGTTACAAATGATTGATTTTCACAATTGCAATGATTTTTAACAAAAACATATTGTAAATTTTTATACAGGTACATAATATATATATATTAATAATATATATATATAGATACATACAAATTACATATATAATACACACAACACACACACACACACACACACACACACACACCACACACATCACACACACCCACACACACACACACACACACTCACACACACACAACACACACACACACACCACACACAACACACACACACACACACACGACACACCAACACACACACACATCACATACCACACACACACACACGCACACACGCCGCCACACACACCACACAGCACACGCACACACACACACCACACACACGTCGAACACCCACACAACCACGCACCACGTAAACGCCACACAGCATGCAACGCACACAGACACACACACACACACAACACATCACACAACCACACACACACACACACACACATACACATCCAACGGCACAAACACACACACACAACACACACACACACACAACACACACACACAAAAACCCCATAACACACACAACACCATACATTACACACACGGCGCTCCATAACACTCAACAACATATACGCACTATGCACGCTCATGCAACCACACACGCATGCACGCAGACACACATCACACACCACACAACACACACACACACACAAACACACACACACACACACACACACACACAGTCACACACACACACACCACACAACAACACACACACACACACACACACACACACAACACAACACACAACACACACACACCACACACACATAACACACACAACAACTGCACACACGTTAGATCCTTTTGCGACTATATGAGATCTCGAGTATTGTCGATCGCATACGAAAAGCGTACATTGCTTATCGCGACGCCGCACTTCCACACTTCACTCACCGTCCTGCTGTTGAAATCGAGTCACACGCATCGGGAGCTCGGGCAAATCTGTGTGCAGCGGTAAGATCTTCCCGAAGCATCTCGCATTCGTTAACGAGAGCAAACCGCCTCTCTGCCGGCTCCAGAATGTCTCTTATGAAGAACGAACGAGATTATGGGGGGCTGTTTCATTTTTAGTCAGAACTTGTCTCCATACCGCAGCTTTTTTCGTTATCGGAAACGCGTCCAGGTGTAATATTTCTGAAATAGAATCGACGAATATTATACCATCGCATCAGTAAGTAATATCGATCATGCTTGAAACCCGTCAGAATTCATCTCCGCTGCTGCGATTGCAGAGAAGAAACTGTGACTGTATCGCTTGTTAATTACTTAACAAAAAAACGAATAAATAAATCTTGCTCCGTCGCCGGAAAATCTCGCGCCTCGTATGCGTTTCTCCACGCTCCTGTAGTCCGGTGTCGCTAGTCACCATCTAACGTTTCGTTTACGGCCATCGTCGTAGCGCGTTGTGTGTGCGCGCGCGCGTCTGCTCGGTGTTTGTGCCGCGATGGTTGCGTGGCGGTGGGCTAGTTACGCTCCTCTTCACGGCTCTATCGATAGACGGCTTAGCAGCAAGGAGGCTGGCGACAACCTTTCTCTAAACAATCACACGATGAGACGCCCGCCCGCGCTCGGGCCAACACGAGCATGGTGTGATCCGCTTGCCGATAGATGTGCGCTCGCTCGCAACAAAGCTCCGTGCGGCTCATCTTGTAATCCTGCGTTCCGGTAAAACAAGGCGAGAGCGAAGAGATGAGAGAGAGGAGGGGGGAGGAGAGGAAGGGGGGAAGACAACACCGCGTTGATAATTTCAGCGAGAGAGTCGCATTAGAAGCGTCTCGGCGTGGCTACTTAACGACTACTCGCGCAAATTATTCGCCGCCTCTTAATTTTCCGCTCACTGCCGTCGCTTTAAAGCTCACGCGCGCCTACACCGCGGCCACGCTCCTTTCCGATAGATAGATATAACACGTCGGCAGTGGATGCCAGCGGGAAGAAGGTTAAACTCGTCGTGATTTCCTCCTCGCTTTTTGTTCTATCCGCTGCTTCGACAGTGAATATTTAGTTCCTCGTAGAACCCGAATCGCGTTGCTCGCGGATTTTTCTTTCATGACGCATCTAGAATCAGTGTAACTCTCGCCTCTCGCTCTCTCTCTCTCTCTCTCTTCTCTCTCGTCTCTACTCTCTCTCTCTCTCTCTCTCTCTCTCCCTCGCTCTCTGCTCTCGCTCTCGCTCTCTCTCTGTCTCTCTCTCTCTCTCCTCTCCTCTTCTCTCTCTCTCTCTCTTTCTCTTACTCGCTCCTCTCCCTCTCTCTCTCTCTCTCTCTCTCTCTCTACCTTCTACGCTCTTCCCTCTCTCTTTCTCTCCTCTCTCTCTCTCTCTCCTCTCTTTCTCTCATCTCCTCTCTCTCTCTCTCTCTCTCTCTCTCTTCGTCTCTCTCCTCTCTCTCTTTCTGCTCTGTCTCTCTCTCGCTCTCCATCTGCCTCTCTCTCTTCTCTCTCCTTCTCTCTCTCGCTCTCTCTCTCTCTCTCTCCTTCTCTCTCTCTCCGTGCGGATCGTTCTTTCTTTATTCTCTCATTCTCTGCATCTTCTCTCTCTCTTGTCTTCTCTGCTCTCTCTCTTCTCCTCATCTCTCTCTCTCTCTCTCTCTCGCTTCGCTCGCTTCTCGCTCTCGCTCTCGTTCTCTCTCTTCTCGTGCTCTCTCTTTCATCTCTCTCTCCTCTCTCTCTCTCTCTCATCTCTCTCTCTCTCGCTCTCCTCTCTCTCTTCTCTCTCTCTCTCTCTTCTCCTCTCGCTCTCCTCCCTCTCTCTTTCGCTTCTCCTCTCCGGTCTCATCTTCTCCTCTCTCTTCGCTTTTCCTCTCTGCTACTCTCTCTCTCTCATCTCTCTCTCTCTCTTTATCTCATCCCTCCTCCTCTCTTATCTCTGTCTCTCTCTCTCTCTCGCTCTCTCCTTTTCACTCTCCTCTTTCTCTCTCTTCTCTCTCTCTCGTCTCTGCTCTCTCTTTCTCTCTCTCATCTCTCTCTCTCTCTCTCCTCTCTCTCTCTCTCGCTCTTCTCTTTTCACTTTCTCTCTCCGCCTCTCGCTCCGCTCTCTCCTCTCTCTCGTCTCTCTCTCCTTCTCTTTTTTTCTTTTCTATATATACATGATATACATACACACACGCCACACACAACACACACACACACACACACACACACACACACACACACACACACACACACACTGCCGCACGCACACACACACACACACACACACCACACACACAACACACACCACCACACATAACACACCACACGCACACATCAAGCTGTGTATACTAGCCCTGGTACCCGGCGTTTAATGTAATAACTAACTCTGCGTGCCCCCGTGCCCATGCTTCCCGGCTGCAAGGCGGTCTCGGGGCACACCGAATTACGATTTACCCTAATCACGTAATTCGTTCTGACAGTATATAGGAAGAGATAAGCAGGTTGATTAGCTGGTATTGGTATAGCGACCGCTGGCTGCCTACACGCAATTTCGCGTCCTCGCTGTTCGCGTATAGTATAGAGATATGATTATGAGAGATGTTAGTGGGGTGCGGAAGTAAGGATGTTCGTCGTTCGCATCTCATATCGCTATTTGTGTTTCGACGCGCGTGCAAGTGCAAGTTATTTTTCCGAGCAATGCGGACTCCATCGGGAATGTGGCGATTTGACATCGAGATGGTTAACCGTGATTTAGATACTACTCCCCCGTGTGTTGTTGTCGGAACGATCATATGAGGTCAGAGTGAAACTTGGTAATATGTGATAAATATGACCAATGTCACTCTAGATACAATAGGTGAATAGGATGAAGTCGTCGTCAAAAACACATCTTGTTTTTTAGACGCCAATAGAAGCAGGTTCCCATGCCGCGCAAACAAAAACGTGAACAAATTTTGATATTTTTAAATATAGAATTTATGCACGTTGAAACTATTTTACATTGATAAATATTTTACATCTCAATTCTCGTTACACATTTCAGTCGCGTTGCATACAGTCACGATAGGACATAAAAATGCATTTAAAACTTGTGAAGTTTACGTCGTCCATTTATATATGATCCTGCATCCGGCATGCGTAAATATAAAGATATTCGCTAATATAATGAAGTATTCTAACTGATACTGATATGTGGTATAAAGTGGCACGCACGAAACTGAGTTAATAATCAAATATGGCGACTTACGATAGGTTAATTCAAGTTAAAGGAACCCCAAACATCCTATAACATGTATATTTATATAACCGTATTATTTCACACAATCGGAGCGCTAAGTGAAACTGCATGCATGTGTAATTATTAAATCACCTATTTTTTTAAATAATAGCAAAATCGCAATTAAAATTGCCGCATTAACGCAAAGTAAGCAAAGCCCAATTACCAACAAATCTGCATATTTTGCGGATTCCAGTGTCGGCGCGCGCGTTCTGTAGCGTTTTGCGCTGCGGTTCTATTCTCCCCTTGTCTGCCCCTTCACGTTCGCGCTGGCCAGCCATGTAGCGTCCGGTGTTTGGACTGTGCTGCCACGACTACATGAGAATCGGCGTGCGTTATTCGGCGCGTTTGTATTAGCATTGCGATTCCACAGGAGAATGCGACAGACGCGCATATCCGTTACGGCATCTATGACTCTTTTACTCTGTTTGCCATAACAACTACATGAGAGGCCATCAATCACGAAACACACCCGCGCTGGCAGTATTCATTTGAATAAAACTTGCATTTCCAACATCGCCGCGAGCGACGCGAAATCGTGTTCGCCATTACAACTACGCGCTGTGCCGCGCAGTGGCGCTGCATTCGCTGTTGCCGTCCCCCCGCGCAATCGGGCGCCAAGCAAGCGGCGAGGCGTCACGTGACGTAGTCGGTGACGGGGCCGATGTTACTCGTGCGCCACTTGAAGGTAAGTCTCCCGCGGGGACGCGCCGAGCAATCTGGCCCGAGTAGCACATAGGTTAACCACTCCTCAGCGGGAAACCCCGTAATGAAAGCACACCACTTAGCCGAGGCAGATTTTAATTTTTACTAATTAATATACGCGCGCCTAATTATTTAATTAATTTTCGCCATCAACCTTTTGTGACGGCCAGGTGTCTTGAGGCTCGGCCGGTTGGCGGCGGGTAAGACGGAGATTGTTTACCAGCGGTGTTTTGATGGGAACATCATAAATAACGCATATTCATCAGTAGGGTCTGCCATCGGGGGATGGGGAGCAGGGTGGAGAGGGAAGAAGGAAGAGGAAGGGAGTTGTAGATTGATTACCCAATGACGTCGGATTTTGGCGCCTTTGAATGCGCCAGGGAAGTTTCACCCATCGTCTGCCATTAACCGCAGAATTTCCGCCAACGGCGCCATTCATGCATCCCACCCACGAACTTGGCTCGAGGTCTCTCGTTTCGTGGTTTCGTATATATTTAATACGGTGGGCAGGCAGGTTATTGGTTAATAGCAGACAGAGACGCTGCGTATGTCCACCGCAGCTGCTTTACGCATTTTGCCTGAATTTACGAAAGCTGGTTGAACCGAAATCTTATCGAATCGGTCACGCCCTTACCGGCGCGTAATAATATGTATACATGTATAGTATAGCCGGTATATGTGTGATATAGGATAAATAACACTGATTCCTAGATGCGTCATCAAGAAGAAATCCGCGAGCAACGCGATTCGCGCACGAGGAAACTAAATATTCACGTCGACACAGAGGATTCAGACACGAAAGCGAGGAGGAATCACGACGAGTTTAACCTCTTCCCGCTGGCTCCCTCCGAGCGTGTATATCTATCTATCGGGAGCGTGGCCGCGCGTGTAGGCGCGTGAGCTTTAAAGCGACGCAGTGAGCGGAAAATTAAGCGGCGATAATTTGCGCGTAGTCGTTAAGTAGCCACCCGAGACGCTCTAATTGCGACCTCTCCTCGCTCGCAAATAATCCAACGCCGGTGTTTCCTTCCCCCTTTCTCCTTCCTCCCCTCTCTCTCTCTCACTCTCTCCCGCTCTCGCCTTGTTTTTACGCGCGACGCCGGATAGCAAAGATGACGCCGCACGAGCTTTGTTCGCAGCGCCATCTATCGGCAGCGGATCACACCATCGCTCGTGTTGGCCCGAGCGGCGGGCGGGGCGTCTCATCGTGTGATTGGAGAAGAAAGCGGTTGTCGCGCAGCCTCCCTTGCGGCTAAGCCGCTCTCTCGATAGCCGGTGAGAGCAGCGTAACAGCCCACCGCCACGCACACACTCGCGCGCACACACACACACAGACGCGCGCGCGCACACACACGCGCACACGATCGGACCGTAAACGACAACGATAGATGGTGACAGCGACACCGACACAGGAGCGTGGAGAAACGCATACGAGCGCGAGATTTTTTCCGCGACGGACGCAAGATTTTTTATTCGTTTTTTTTTTCTGTATTAAAAACGATACACGTCACAGTTTCTTCTCGACATCGCAGCAGCGGCAGAAGAGAATCTCTGACGGGTTCAAGCATGATCGATATTACTGATCGATGGTATTAATATTCGTCGACCTCTATTATCAGAAATATTATACTGGACGCGTTTCCGATAACGAAAAAAACTGCGAGTATGGGCAAGACAAGTTGCTGACTACAGAAATGAACATCCCCCATAAATCTCGTTCGTTCTTCATAAGAGACATTCTGGAGCCGGCAGAGAGCGGTTTGCTCTCGTTAAACGACATGCGAGATGCATCGGAGATCTTACCTGAACACAGATCTTGCCCGAGCTCCCCGGATGCGTGTACTCGATTTCAACAGCAGGACGGTGAGTGAGTGTGACAGTGCACGCGTCAGATAGGCAATACGTACGCTTCGTATCGATCGAAATATACGACGATCTCATATAGTCGCAAAGATCTAGCGGTGTGTGTGTGTGTGTGTGTGTGTGTGTGTGTGTGTGTGTGGGTGGGTGTGTGTGTGTGTGTGTGTGTGTGCGTGCGTGCTTGCGTGCGGCAATTCGCGCGTATGTGCGTACTTGCGTGCATATGCGTGCATATGCGTGCATTCGGAAATGCACGCGTGCGGGCACGCGTGCGTTGAAGTGAGCATGTGTGCGTGCGCGTGCTTGCATGTAATATTTATTTCGCAACACAACGCACCACTTAATTACGCGTTCACTGTAAAATACCTGTATTTTGTTTCAGAATTATTATGTTTTATTAACGACGTTCCTAAAAATTTAGATGGATATGCTGCTTGATTTTTTCCGACTGCTGGTGCATCCACAATGCCCTGACGTGTCAGCAAAAATATTCATGGGGTTCTCGGATGAATTTTTTATCGTGTGCAGGTTCCGTGCCATGTTTTACATATTGATTACTCTTTCTCATTAGAAGACAACAATTTGTCATATTTTACGATCATGGCTCAACGATGCACGTTAATATATTACCAGATGTTCACCACACTCGCGCGCACCCATAATTCTTGCCCTTACCCACCCTGGCCCCACCCCAGGGCCACATTATGATCAACATGGGCATAATTCACCTGCATTGGCAGTATATTAGAACTGAGCGCTTAATGCCCACGTGGACGAAAGGGTGGCATTTTATTATTTCATAGTCTATCGTCCGAAAGATAAAATCCATGCGCACGCATCCATTTCGCGCGTCCGAGATGATATAATGCGTTAAATATTTGCAATCAATTTGCTCAGGTAAATGGCGGCATATACGCCTATTTCGATGTGTTTCATCACAAAAGCCTCGCAAGTCTAGTTTACTCTGGCATCAGGTAGCCTTATAGGAAACACCGCAACGGTTTGTATTTACACCCCCCTCTCTCGCTCTCTCTTCGGTCGCACCGGCCGTATGTACACATTTGCTCAATATTATATATGGCTTTTCTGTGCTTGTATAGCGAGGCAACTGTCTATTAACCGTTAGTAAATAATATTACCAATTGTGTGAAAATTATGTTCGCATTTTCGGCGGAATGCGGTTGTTAATGTTTGGTATATCCGCCGTAAATACTGTTAGATAGAAGCACGTGTTCAAACGTCTCTCATTTCAGTATACACGGGTATTTCATGTCAGTCTATTTACAGTCTTTTTTTCAGAACTGGTGGCTTTTTGGGCGTGCTGTTATAAGAGACAAGCCGAGGTCTATTTTTACTATCAAAACTTAGATATCGCTTGTCGAAAATATTTAGAATACTGTATACGCTGTACATTTCGCAGTGGTTTAATTTTCGCGAATTTCGCGAACGCGTCCCCGACCGCGAAAATAACAACACGCGAATAATTCATACGGAATAATACCGAATACTAGTAATTCATAATTCACCACTCGCGAAATTGTCCATCAATTCAGTCGGAATTCGCGAAAATATCTGTACGCGAAAAATATGTCGGATACAGTATGCCTAAACGCGCGGCTGAAACGAGCTCCGCGGAGGGAACCCTAGAAATGTCCCGCAGCCTCAATAAAAATGAGAAAATAAGAGAGAATTCGTATAGAACCTATACGATTCGCTGCGAAGCTGGTCAAAACCTCCAATCGCTGATTAGATTTCACAGTCAGATTTAACCAAAAAATCAGAATTCACACACAATTGGCACGTGATTTGAATGACATGTGCGTTAATTTTCTAGTTTTTAATTAACATGACGTGTATCTATAGCCATTGTTTTGGGTTCATCTGCGCAATTGTTAGATTAACATTATCACATCTGCTAATGATGTACCGATATTAAATCGTACGGTAAGTGTTTAATTACGTAGTCGTTGGGTTGTCGAATTAGTTATATAAATACACAAATTAAGGCTAAATTTGTTTTGTAAAGACAACGATATCTGTCGGTTTGTTTTACGGGGATTACATACCGCACATCAAAATCTAAGACTTGTGTCCGTTAGTAATTAAAGATTTCGGCTCCGTCCTATACATTGTGTTTACGTATAGTACGCGAAGTATTATAATAATGGCGCGAGACAGACTACGCTATCAACATGTTTTCTTTATCATATACATTGCCCGAAGCGCATGCTAGTAATGATTTGTAATTAATAAATGATAACGCATTAGATCAGATTGCTAGCTGACCGGTAGTTCGCTGACAGCACAGCGACCAGTCAAGTTCATGTTATGTTGCGCACGCTTCGCGACTGATGAGTTAGTTATTCCTCCACGTTGTTGATATTGGGTAAGAGCCGACGAGGGTGAGCCTGCCCGTGATTTCACCCGTGAGCGTGAGCCTGTTCGTGAGCCTGCCCGTGATTTCACCCGTGAGCCTACCCGTGGGTCTATCCGTGAGTCTACCCGTGAGCCTGTCCGTGAGTCTACCCGTGAGCCTGTCCGTGAGACTGTCCGTGAGCCTGTTCGTGAGACTGTCCGTGATTTCACCCGTTAGCCTCCTCGTTAACTTGCCCGTGTACACTGCCACTGTCATCCCATCTACACCATGTTTCACAGATGAAATTGCGATAGCTAATAGCTAACACAGCGTCAATGCCGAATGCGGTGTCAACGTGGAAAGCAGCGTCAATGCCGAATGCGGTGTCAACGTCGAAAGCAACGGCAATCCCTACTGCGGTGTCAACGTCGAAAGCAACGTCAATGCCTACTGCGGTGCCAACGTCGAAAGCAGCGTTAATGCCGAATGTGGTGTCAACGTCGAAAGCAACGGCAATCCCTACTGCGGTGTCAACGTCGAAAGCAACGTCAATGCCTACTGCGGTGCCAACGTCGAAAGCAGCGTCAATGCCGAATGCGGTGTCAACGTCGAAAGCAGTGGCAATACCTCTTGCGGTGTCAACGTCGGAAACAGCGTCAATGCCTACTGCGGTGTCAACGTCGAAAGCAGCGTCAATGCCGAATGTGGTGTCAACGTCAGAAGCAGCGTCAATGCCTACTGCGGTGTCAACGTCGAAAGCAGCGTCAATGCCGAATGTGGTGTCAACGTCAGAAGCAGCGTCAATGCCTACTGCGGTGTCAACGTCGAAAGCAACGTCAATGCCTAATGCGGTGTCAACGTCGAAAATAACGTCAGACCCTAAACAACATCGACGGCCGGTAGCTATGACGGAAACGTAGCATCACTCACATCTGTAATCGTCAGCGTCTATATTCATCGTTGTCGTTATCGTCTCAAGCAGCGGTCAACGCATACTTGAACCCGGAGGTAAAATATCGCGATATGAAAACATCGCACTCACCTGTTCGTTCAGCTCTGCTGGTACTCTCACTATTCTGCTCTTCATTCTGACCGTTCACGCGAACGTGCCTGTAGAACCTCCATGACTCGACTTCGTCGATGCTACTGATCAAAGATGTTAGTTATGACTGCGACATGAGCGTCAGAGAGAAGCGAAGGGAAGTCCGTCCGCCTTTACGTAACGCTTTCGATGGTATAGAGAAGCGTTCTCCGTGTAATTCAGCAGGCGCTGAGGGTGCGCGTGCCGAGAGAGTGACCGTTACATGCCGCCACACGGGAAAGACGTGTCACGCATCTGCGGCTGGACGGCCGACGAACGCCACTGTGGTCCGTTAACACCGTTTCTCGCAATTTGCCGGTTAGTAGATATATCTAATTGCGCGCTGTCCTCTTGCAAAGCCCTACGCTCAACTATTCAATATTATTTTTCGGTCGTGCCCCACGGCGCGGAATCTGCATCGAGATGGGTGGTGTGGCGGTCTCGGTCCCCCGCGTCACGCCGCCGTGTCCGGAGGAGAGAGAGAGAGAGAGAGAGAGAGAGAGAGGAGAGAGGAGACGAGAGAGAGAGAGAAGAGAGAGAGAGATAGAGCGAGAGAGAGAGAGAGAGAGAGATATACAGAGGAGGCTGTTGCTGCTGCTGCTGCTGCCGCCGCTGTTGCCGCCGTCGTCGCCACAGTCACATTCTACCGCAGCTTGCTAATACCGGCGAGGTTTTATTATGAGGATTTTGCACTTTAATCATGTGACGAAAGTGGAGAACAATTAATGCTTGCCGCGAGTCGCATATGGTGCCCGGGAGAACGGGGCGTGTCCGCCGCTACTCGCTAGCGATTCTCCCGGGCCGCGCGTCATTGCTGGCGCATAAGCTCGTGACGTCGCTTGATTGACGCATCGAACAGCCAATGGACGCGTTTGCCTGAATCAGAGCGGTGATGCGACGTGGCCGTCAAAGAAATCAATGAATGCGTCTCGCGTGGCGCGCTGCGGCATAAAGCCGCGAGGCGTGTGCGACAGCGAGGAAGTCTTAATTATGCTCCATCCTATAATTACTGAAGATTCCCCTGTGCGTTGTGCGTCCGGCTGCGTACGAGACGCAACTATGTATCAGGTATCAGAGTATCTACGTAAGCGATAAGATGTCAGACAATATTAGCTCTCTATTGTCGTGCGCATGTGAGCTTGTACAGTGGGGGATATAATATATATATATATATATATATATATATATATATATATATGTGTGTGTGTGTGTGTGTGTGTGTGTGTGTGTGTTGTGCGTTGCGTGCGTGCGTGCGTGCGTGCGTGCGTGCGTGCGTGCGTGCGTGCTTGTGCTGCAGTGCGTGCGTGCGCGGCGTGGTGCTCGCGTGTGTGTGTGTTGTGTGTGTGTGTGTGTGTGTGTGTCACGTACAAACTCGCCCACAAGTTCAAACTCTGTGGAATGTTTCTGTGGAATATCCGACAAATGCCCAACTAGGCGTGGGTGTCGCACATTCACCACTTCGATAACGCCAACACATTACACTACGGAGCTATGCATATTTTAATAGATATAAGTTCATGACAACACACGCGCACGCTCTGTTGCTGCGTTAAAAGGCTCCAATATATTAACCAGAAGCATCAAATCGTGCGATTTAGGGCTCATGCAATGGCCAACGACGGCAACGTGAATTCCAAGAGCATTTCAGATATTCCGTATAGTCACTGTGATCCTTCCACTAACTTCAATCGCATGGAAATCTAACAGTTATTGGCTGTATCTATTTTTCAAATCGCTGAGACCTCTGGAGATGGGAATTTCGAAATAGCTATCGGTACATTTTTACTGGTACAGGTAGGCCTATCTCTGAATAATCGCTCTCCTCATCATATCAATGTGTTTAATTGAACATTCAGGAATACTTTGTTAATATAGATTGAGTATCAGATCGATAATATGACAGATCTGTATTAATACCACAGACTACTACCACCACCACCACTACTATACTACTACTACTACTCTACTACTACTCACTACTACTACTACTACTACTACTACTACTACCATGGGCGCTAGCCAGTATGTAGCCACTGTAGGCCGGGCCTACACTTTTTTGGCCAAGTTATTCTTCTTTTTTTTTAACACCCATAATTCAAATCCATAACATAAGCTTGCTGGACGTGAGACAGTGAGACGTCTAGACAGGAGAAAACTATTGAAATGAACGTAGCAAGAATATGGCTAATTAGGTGACCTATTCTTCTGTCATCTAGGCTGTCATTTCTATCGCGTGCCGTTTCATTCAACACTTTACCGCCGAAAAAGACTAGGATCCGATCGTTCTCGTTCGTAACACTATTTTAATCGTTTGTTTTTTGGTTTAAAAGTGATATTGAATGAGGTGTCTCAAGTTAGCAAGAGGCCAGGGAACCAGAATGAACACTCGGGAAGGGCCGTTTTCCGCGCATCTGGGGGTTTTGTAAACCAAAAATTTTCTTTGTACGCTCCGCGCCAACGATGGTGGCGCTCCGCTCAGATAGTCGTGCCTACAACTTTAAAATCCTGGCTACGCCCCTGGACTAACTACTACTACTACTACTACTACTACTACTACTACTACTACTACTACTACTACTACTACTACTACTACTACTACTACTACTACTACTACTACTACTACTACTACTACTACTACTACTACTACTACTACTACTTCTACTGATGCTGCTGCTGTTGCTGTTGCTGCTGTTGCTGCTACTGCTGCTACTGTTGCTGCTACTGCTGCTGCTCTTGCTCTTGCTGTCGCTAATTAATATTACCAATACTATTATTATTATAATTGTTGTTGTTGATGATGATGATCGATGATGATGATGATGATGTTGCTGTGTTTTTTTTTTACTTCTGCTGCAACTATCTTGTGTCTTTACCGCGGTCGTAGTGTCGTCGCTGCTGTGGTAAACGTATAACAGTAGCAGGAGCGAAAATCCAGGCGGCGGCGGCGGCGGCAGTAGTAGTATTAGTAGCAATAGCAGTAGCAGTATTACTAGCAGTAGCAGTAACAGTAGCAGCGACAGTAGTACTAGTAGCATCAGTGGCTGCAAGGAATAACTAAATGACAGCGACGGCTACGGAAACGGTCACGGAAGCAGCGACAATGACAATGACATGTGAGCATCGCGTGTACAATGTGTGATGGCTACTAAGTATCACCATACGTTTGCGCCTGTTTGCGTGCGTGCGTGCATACAGCACACGCGACAGCCGACCAGCCCGTGACGATAACGCGACGCCCGCTCATACATCTACTGTGAATAATATCCATAGCTCATGCGTGACAACTGCTCGCCATATGTCGCCCACATCGGCTAAATTGCAAACTGTTTGCACGGACAACACGCACACCGGCGCGCGTTAGCGACTCCGTGAATTAGCCGAGGCATAATGTTATTGTAGTCAAAAGCGAGGTGAATATGAATTATTTGTGTAATTGTATCGTGTCGTGTTTGCCGAGCGAAATGTCATTAGGAAGCAGGAGGGGGCTGCGATGCGTTTGCGGGGTGCAATATTTACGCTCTTTTATTCGGACGAACTGCTGTTTTTCGGCGTGTCGCGGACCTACTAAGTAATTACAACAGTGCTCTGCCCCGGCGAATGTCGACACGGGTGATCTATGGCGGTATCAGCTTGAACGCACTGACCGCCGCTGAGGCTGATGTGATGCGAGGGAAAATATGCGGGCAAATAACGCGTGCGGTGGTTCGTAGGGGAAAACTGCGTGGCGTGTCTCGATGCACGGGCCTGCGTGAAAACGGGTTAGTTATGTGTTCATTGGGATATAGGTGACACCAAAGGCTAATAATACCTTTTATTATAGCTATTAATAGGTATTATTAGTTCTTGGTGACATATTAAGATGACGAGCACGTATTTTGTAATATATTCACGCATCGTGAAAGAGAATTCATCAGCGACCTTCGTGCGGTCGGTATCGGAAATAACTTTCTGTCCTGGCTGCACTTAACATGTCGCGTACGCAATACAATTTCGCTAGATCTCTCGCTGAATATTCCACATTTAACGCTTAGTAATTATGCAATTAGTTTAAATTGATCGAACCTCTCACCGCATGACCGTGGTCTTCTCGCTCAAGTCGTGTATTAGATTACGTTACGTTACGATACGTTACGTTATATTAGATAACGCCGCGCATTGCCCTATAGCAATTGTCTCTGCATGTGTTGGGCGATGAAAGGGGAACGGAACTTTAGGATCCGGATTTCCGTAACTTTTTTTTCCATGCGTGTGAAATATTACCTCGCGGTTACATGACATACATGACAACGACAATGCTCACGATGAATTTACACGTATTTGTACTATTCGTAAAAAAAAAATTGTTGATTCGTAGCTGGAGTCGAGAGCCGGTTTGTCTGCTCGAGGTTACCTCATGTGCAAGCGCGTCGTACGCTACAGAAAGACAGGATGCCACAGTATCACCGACGAGGTAAAGAAACGACGTCTCAGATGGCTCGGCCACGTGCTGAGGATGGAGGAGCAAAGAATCCTCAAAGTGGCTCTGAGGTAGACGCCGCCAGAAATAAGGAGACCCGGCCGACCAAAGACCACCTGGAGGAGAAGTGGGGAGGTGGAACTGAAGGAGATGGGCTTCTCGTTGGGACAGGCGCTGCAGGCTGCCCAGGACAAATCCCGCTGGAAAGACACTATTCGTACGGCCTTATGTCCCATCGGGGGACCAAGAGGATTTAAGTAAGTAAGTAAGCGTCGCACGACAGCAGCATATATGGGGTCGGCAAGAATTT